ACCTGGTGGGAGACAAATGAATAGAAATGCTATATGGCCAGCGGAAAAGGGCGGACACCAGCAGTGACACAAAGGGCGGACACATCTTAAGAAAGAATTGAGAACCCCAACAGTAAACTGTTTGGGGACAAAGGAAGGAACAATCACGTATATTGAACATCCTGCTGGCCAGAGCCAAGTGTTGACTACTCTGCTTTCTCCAAGCCCCACGCATTTGGCATCGATAATGTTTAGCGCTTTGTAAGACCTAAATTCAGGAACCAAACACATCCAAACACCAAGCCCGAGCAGCCAAGGAGTGATTGGAATATTTGGAATACTGATTCACTTAAGTGAAAGGATTACTTGGAATAGGGGGAAGCTGATCAAAAATGATCAAAAGGTAAAGCAACCTGTCATTGTGAGAATGCTGTCAATTTGTCCAGCATCCGAGACTCTCTGGGCATCATACCGCCCATGGTCCTGAACGCAGCCGTGGCCCGTGGCATCGCAGAAATGGGCAAAATGCCCGCAAAGCAATGGTAATAGCGATGGCCTCCAACCTAAGAGCGATGGCCTCCAACCTAATAGCAATGCCGCAAAACAATGGTCTGAAAAGGACAAGCTCAAGGCTGCCCAAGAATAGGAGTCTGAAAGGTAACAGGTAACTAACAATATCTAACCAGTGGATTCTATTTCTGAGAAATGACCTGCTATTCTCAACATTGTTTGCAGCTCCTTTGCAGCGGGAATCTCCGAGGTCCCATAATTTGGTGTCGAAGAAATGGTCCCTTTACCTCAAGTGACGAGAATTTGAAAAAGGATGGAAAAGGATGAACTACCAAGAAGCACAACCTTTGTCTTTGGCTCGTTCAACTATGTCCGCATTGGACCAGAAGTGCTCTACAATCTTCTGCCAGGTGAGACATTGGTCCATGGGTGTTTTTTAGCCGTCCCATGCAGTTCACGTGAACAGTGAAAAGGTTGTATCAATGGATCGAGATTTATCAACGGACTTTCTGGTTAAAGCGCCAAGAAACCATGCAGACAGTCTAGTGCGCTACCGTGGCAGCATTGGAAGGAACCAACCTTAGACACAATGCGTGGCGTGCTGATCTGGCTGAAGTCAAAGACTTAGATTGATTGACTTAATGGATAAAGGGCCCTCAAGTAGTTCCTAAGTACAAGTACAGCACAACCTTCACTTGGAGTGGAGCCGAAATGACTCTCCGCCCACGTGGCTCCGCACCTTTTCACACCCTCGAAACATCGAACCCGCGGAGCACCCGCACGTCGGTAGTGTGGAGCAGTGTGCTCACGTCGGTAGTATCGCACCTTACAACCTGCAAGGTGTGCCCTCGTCATTGGAACCGCAGAGGAGCTTCCTAGTATGTAGTTTCTTGTTCCTAGTAGCGATGCGAGGAGGCCCTAGTAGCGTCCTTGCTCCTAGTAGCGATGCCCTTTGCTCCTAGTAGCTTCTTGTTCCCGACTCTGTTCTGAGCTTTTACATCGACTTGCTGTACTCAGAGAGGTCGCCGTGACAACCATTGTCCGCTATAAAGTTTGCTTGTGGTGCTTTCCTTTTTGCATGATGAATTCGCATATATATATATATATTATATACATTAACTTTCTTATCTTGGATCGACGACTTTTGTCCATATGGCCGCCTCCCAGGGAAAAAGGACAAATCCTCTATGAACCACTGAGCGACATTGAAACTGAATCACCATGCCACTGAGCTGACAAACCAAGCCACTGCCAGAAAGCTTATTCACAGGCGACACACAGTAGACTTTAGTCCTTCAGCTGAAGCCGCAGCCATAGACATTGCGCAAAATAGTCACATAGCATTGCATAGCAATGCCACAACCAGGCTGCGGCCAAGAAGCAAAGCAACTAGTGAGTGTATTGTCCAGTAACGACTCTACACCCAACTGTGAAAGGTTCTCCTTTTCCTTAAAATGCCAAGAATTCCAATGGATGAATTAGCTTGGAAGGAACTTTTGAATTACCCTGAACCAGCCGAAGGGAGGACCAGCAATTTAGATTTTAGATCAATTTAGATCATTTTAGGTAATGCCTTCGGGCATTTGCGAAGCGTCTTGGCATCCGGGCCCGGTAAGGGGACTGGCCGTTCGTGAGGTCTGAGCATTTGGGATAGCAAAGCCTTGGCAAAGAAACTTTCATCAGGCTCTCCAGAACAAAGCCTGATGGAAGCCCGCAAACCCGAATGCACAAACGTGTGCAAACACAAACGACCGAACGTTATTTGACAATGCTTGACGGCCTTCTCGGCTGACACTCTTCTAGGACACGTTTGTGCGATACTTTTGCCTGACAATCTTGTGGGACACTCTTGGGTGTGGCACTCTTGCTGATTTCTTGTGCAACACCCTTGTAATGTTGGATCACGATTAGTAAAGGGGACCTCTATAATGCTAAATTTTTCCAAAATTATTCAGACCCCCCTGTTTAAAAAATTGTACCTCTATAATGCTAATATCTTTTTTGGCCCTAAATTTTTAAATTGGAAACCCAATTAATGAGGGTTTGAATTCCTTCTGAGGCCAATGATTATGATTCACTAGCTGATATAGCTTTCTCTAGGTTTCTTCAAAACTGACAGCTGAC